CCCACAGCCACAGTTGACATGGCACCCAATTAAAAAAAGAACCAGCCTTTTCATAAAATGTAAGCCCCTTGTCCTCGGATAGGCCACTGTCATATCACGCCGAACACATTGTCTGAATAATGATTCCTCAACGTTATTATGTAGTCGTACAATGTCTTTTAGATAAATTCTTCAGTTAATGTAACATCATTATTTCTTTAATCTACCTGTTTCTTATTAATTTTTTGTTTTTAGTTTTATATATAGGCCCTTTATTGCTTTCTTTACAGATGAAGATCTGCGTGATCACCATTCTGTCAATCGCCCTCCTTCTGGGTAACTCTGTCAAGCTCCGAGCTTCCGTTACTGGGCCGGTTCCCTCGGATGGTGAAGGCCCTGCGTCTCAGGTGAGTCAGCAGTGCTGCCAAGGACCTGCTGCAATACCTGGTATACCGGGTTTGCCTGGACCAGCAGGACCGATGGGGCCGTACGGTCAGCCGGGGTCAAAGGGCGATTTAGGCCAGCAAGGTCACAAAGGTGAGATTGGACAGATTGGACCTATGGGTGAGCGGGGAGCACATGGGAACACTGGGTCTAAAGGTGACGATGGGATTGGCCTGCCCGGCAAGATAGGTCCGAGAGGCCCACCGGGTCTTGTTGGAGCAGCCGGTCAGGCTGGTGTCAAAGGTCAGAAGGGTGAGCCAGGGGAGACACCAGACGACTCCAGTCAGCAGGTAGCATTCACCGTGGTGAGGACGAGCACCTCGGATGAATCTACGAGTCACGACACCCGTTTGCCCTTCCAGCAGACCGAGACGCTTCTGCCAGGTACCATCTTCGATCTCGAGACCGGCACGTTCACCTGTAGTGTGCCGGGTACCTACGTATTTACGTTTTCTGTTCTTAAGTATAGCAACCACGGTCGCTTTGACATCCATCTGGTTAAAAACAACCACAGGGTGATTGCCACCTATGGTGAAACAAATCAACGAGGTCAGTTGTCTGGAAGCGCGGTGCTGGTTCTGCAGCGTGGAGATACGGTGTTTGTTACCATGTACGGTAGGGCGTATGGTGATTCCACCTATAACTACACCTCATTCAGTGGCTTCCTCCTTTACCCGGAGTCAATTAATTAATTAATTAATAAATAATCACCACGCATAAATAAACAGGAGCAGTGTCTCCCCCAACAAACTGTTTGGTTTTTATTTTGCCGAAACAATAACAAATGATTTAACAGAAATAATGTTCAATTTAATAATAATAAACAAAATGTCTCCTATGGGTACCATTAACAGTAATGATCAATATGATTAATTTTAAATACATGTTTAGCTTTGATATATCAAAACGGTTTACAAAACATCAACACTACTTTTTTTCAATCATTAAAAATAAGATAAACATAAATCTCTAATTTTTAGAAGGAAATATTTTAAGCCGTGATTGAAAAATTCCAAATTCATACATATTTCTCAATAAAGCTGAAAGTCTGTTCCCCAGATATATACATGGTAAAAGCACAATCCCTGTATGCCTTGGTAGGCTTCGGACAAACTTTAGGGTGGCTGAACTTAACCCCGTCGCAGCGTTTAGTGCGGATGTTAAACTCATGAACTGATCTTAACTCTACGGATAAGTCTGAAAACTAACAAAAGATCTTGAATTCAACCCTTACCGTATTTATAACTGGGAACCAATGTAGTTCCTGAAGTATGGATGCATGATCTATCCTTCTTGGGATAACCAGTCGGACAGCAGCATTCTAAATATGTTGTCATTTACAATTTTGAGTGCTCGTTATAATTAGCTTTTCGTAGAAAAGTTTTGAGACATATTAAATAAGAATGCATTAAAATTGTTGACAACAATTATATTTGTATCCACTGTGGCATGAAATATCGTTATAAATAAAGTTTTAATAAAAATGTGAACAAATAAATTATTTGAGAAAATATGTTATTTGTTCACTTCTGTTATGTGAACATGCATAATAAGTTATGACTTTTGTAAGACATACATATTTCTGCACCGGTTGGGTTATTCTTAGTTGGGTGGAGACTCGCCCCTATATCATTAATCCTCGGAAAGATTTTGTTTCTTGCTGGAAAAAAATGTATCAATTTGAAGGGCACCCTGGTTTCGAATGTATTGTATATAAATGGGTGACGTTACGTACCTTTATCATATTGTAAACCACGGCCTGAATCGAAGTGTATCCCTATGTGATATAAAATGCGTTATTTCTGAAAAAAAAACTGTTTGCATACACTTTTTTTTAATTACAGTTTTGTTCAAACTCAGCAAGTTTTGAGTTTGAACTGTAGTGTTGCTTTATTAATAGTATTTTGAAGTGGCTCATGATTTGATGTTACTTTGTAGAGATATTTGGCTATTTTCGACTCTGCTTTTCACATGTTTGTGTACCCATTTTTTTTTACAATCAGAATATGCAATTATCAAAGAAAAGTTATGAATGTTTTGTATATTTTTTATGTTTTTACAGATGTTTGAAAAGTTTAAAAAGAGTACGATACAAAGAAGTATAGGAACCAGAAATTCCTTCAATTTTAAAATTTTGCAGTGTTCACAAAATAACATCTATATAAACAGCTGAAATTTGCACTGCATCTAACCATTTTTGTTGCATTTGTTTTTAAAGACCTCTTTGGTAATTTGATCTAAGCAGTATTTAAAAAAAAATCAACGTGTGCCTTCTGGAAGAAGTATTAATATTAAGAATGCTGAACCTGACATAGCCAAGGGTGTAGACCTGTGTGTAACGAATGGTTTGTTTAAATAGCACCGTGAAGCTTTGGTAATCGATCGATAGGGCTACATCACTTTCGATATTAGCGATTTGTAATGTATTTTATACTTAGTTCCTCACTGAATTAACGTGCAGAGAAAGTTATTGTGATGGATTGTCAAACATTTAGGCCATCCCATCATTTTCGAAAGCTTGAATTTGCGAGTTGTTATACAGCTAATTATCCATGTTTTTTTCCCATTTTTTATTTTTACTTTATTAGTAACGAATAAAAAACTTAAGTTGATGTTGATAATCAGGCTATTTTGTTGAGACGTGTCCTGTCATCAAATAAAAATTCCACTACAAAGAGGAAAAATAGGCGGGGTTTGTTGTCATGATTTGAGACAACAAAACGGCACCTTCTCACTGTATGTAGCGAACAAGAAGTAAAGACATTTAGATAAAATCGACCTAGGAAATCAAACCAACACACATTAATGTGTTAAATACTTAGTTTATAACAGCCTAATCGTTGTTTCCTCGATTTTTGCATGCTCTGAGGAATAGATTTGTTTCTAGGGCTACAAAGGTTATTCACTTGTGCATGAGACGCCGACCAAAACAATCGGCCGTTCTGCATTGCTCCGAGGAATAAAATAGAGTAGATAACAAACGTTCATTCTTTTGTTGTGAAATATGCTTTATAACCCGGTACTGCTGACATTTTCTAGTTTTTTTTCATTTAATTACTTTGTGGCCTGACATTTATTCGTTTCTTGCGGTGTAGACTGCATATGTCCCCACCTCCGTTTTTTAGACTCGGTAATACTAGAAACCGGAACCGGTCTACTAGCAGCAGTGAAGCCAGACTTCCCACCATGGGGGAAGGGGGGGGGGGCAGGATGTTACAGTGTGAGGGAGGGAGGGGCAATTTCTGTTATACCTAATAACCGCATGGTCAATGTGAATTATTTATTTCGGGGGGGGGGGGACGGGGGGGGGGGGCGACTGCAGGACATTTTTTTTCTATGTGTGTGTGTAAGCCCAACCCCCTACACCCCCACCCCAGCCTCCCCACTCAACCTGGCTACACCGCTGTCTACCAGCAAGGTGGATTAGATACATCTTTACAGTGAACTAAAGCAGCCACATGAATTGGAGAAAAAAATCGAATATTTTACTAGAGCTACAATAGACGACAAGACTGTTGTAAAATCGACTTACTCATCCTCTTCCTCTGAATGGAAATAATAATGGAAAGAAGAACAACAGAACCCTGGCATTAAATACCCCCCCCCCGGATCTCGAGCCGCCTTAGCATACATTTGGGGTTCGGGATCCGCCGTGGGCTGCCCTAGGGTGGTTAGGAGGTGAAAGGGATGATGGGAGCGGGGTTCCTAGGTGGATTCGTGCTTAGGCTATTGAAGGTTGGGGTTTTGTTAAGAAAAGAAGACTATTTCAAATGGTTGGATCGAAACAGTTAAGCTTGGGAATGGATTTGGTTGGGCGAGAGTCAAAATTGGGTTGGCATATTTCTGTGTTTGGTTTTGGTATAGGTTGGGCTCAATAAGCGTGGAGGGGGTTCTGCAGGTGCAATGTCAATTGCATGCCGAGAAGTTGGTCTGGGCGAGCGCGCGTTTGACTTGTGGATGGGGATAGATCAATGGTTATAATTAAGTTGCCTTTGGGAACGGCTGGGCTCTGCAAAATAAGTATACTTTCAGGGCGGCAATTGTACATGGACCGGATAATGCACACAATATATTCAAGTTCTTATTACTTTTTGGAAAAGCTGAATTCATTTCATCTTCGGTTTTTTTATCACAAATATAGACTGCGTAAGAATACTAGCCACCAAATGCGTGGCTTCATTTAATAACACAAAGCGCAAAACAAACACTGATTGAATCACGTATGGCCGGTGTACGTCATTATTCTCTTCACCAATCAGAGTTAGTCACCCAACAAGTCGGTGACCACAAGTGAGTGGTCTGTGATTGACAGGTGCCAATCACAATCCACGTGTTTGAATGTGTCACCGACATCCATACGATCATTCCACCAAAAAGATGCGTCTATTTGAGTGTCGGTGATACAAGCTTCGAGTTTAACGTGTGGCAATGTAACATTAACATCATTTCCGTCTCACAAATATGGAGCGAGTCAGTGATGTGTGATTGACAGCGCGCAGGGGGCCAATCACAAACCGGGCATGCAATTTCCTCAGTCACTGCTCGGGAAATTGACGTTAATATTTAAGTCACAAGCTGCCGGCTCACTCCTCACAACGACCGCAGCTCATGTTCACGTTCAGACGACAACCCGAGAGAACTGTTTGCAAGATCGAACAAGAATTGCACGGTGAGTGTTTGAAACCGTCTTTTACGATAATTCTGCAAACTTTGGGATAGATCTTTTGTGATATATGATATTGACACAATGTGCTTAATGGCAAAACAGTGCGCTGTAAATATTTCCGACCATGATGATTCCATTTCCATACGGTTATTCGATAACTTATCATGCGATATTGGTGCTTGAATCATAACCAGGTATTATGATGCATAGACTATAGCTGAATAAGCTGTAGTCTGAAAAGTCGATGCGGATTCAGACCAAAATTTTGTGGGGCCAAAATCAGGCAATAATATAGCTAAGAGCAAATACATGTATATAGTTACGATTTTTTTTATTTGTTGGGGATTCCTGACTGACAATATTTCAGCTCCTACTTACATAGTGCACCCTCGACGCATTTTAATTGCCCTAAATACTGAAAAGTGAAGAAAAAAACACTATAAATTCATGAAAGTTTTATAGTTTTTATTGCCATTCAGATTCGCCGGTTTTCCAGTCAAACATGGCTGTAGCTTTTTCAAGAGTGTATTACATCAAGTTCCTTATTGTTATTAAAGTTCATGCACTTTCACAATTTTGTCAGATGATGAATTTAAACCTATTCGTGTTTAACGACAGAAATCTTGCGAAAGCTCGACCGCCCATAATATCAGTATGATCAATCACCTCCTTTATTTTCTCCTATTTTTCCCTGTTTATTGTCAAACCTAAAATCCCGATGCGATGGGCTCACTTTTTCCCCCCGGAAATCACTCTAGCTAATACAGGATAAAAGGTTATGCGGAAGTTGGCCACGAAAAAACATTTAAAGGAAATCGTTACATCTGAAACATCCTGTCCTATGTTGTGTTATTGAACATTCGGAAAAACTCAATGCATTTTGCGTAATGTGTTTTTTAAACTGTGTCTTTAAACCATTTCTATATATGGGTGCAGGCCAGTAAATCAGTCCGAAATTGCCTTCGCCTGCAAAATCACGAATTGCATGCCCTCAAATTCTTCAGAATTAGAGCATTTTGAAGGCCGTGAACTTGATTTTTTTTTTAAAGAAGAAAAAAGGTTTGAAGCCGTGCAGAGGACCGCCAGCTCGTATTTCTGTGAAATGTGGATGTTGATTCGGCCCTAAAATGCCTCTATTTTGCAGTCGAGCGTAGGCGTCCATTTTCAAAATGGCGATGGGCTTTGATCACCTAGATGATTGAACCCCAGAAAATTGAACAGAAAATGAAGGATGATGAAATAATCTTTAATTTGATGTACGTCTTGAACAGTCCTCAGAGAGTTATTACCTGAATTCCTGAAGTGGGGACATAAAATTTGTATTGGGGTCTATTGGAATGTATTACATTCCAATGTATTACTGGTCTGCAACGATAGGTCTACGCGTTACTTTCAAGCGTTGCAGGATAAAAGTGTCAATTGTCAGAATAGACTTAAGGGCGCCAATGCAAACAAATCGGATCATGATCACACACATTTTATTCATGTTTAAATTGCCCCCCGGACAAGCAAAAAAAAAAAAAAAAAAAAAAAAACAGGAGAAAAAAAGGGATAAAAAGAAAAAGAAGAAAGAGGTGCGATCATATTGTTGTTAATTTAATTGGTTGGGGTGCAAATGTTCTCGGACACCCTCAAAAAATTATCGATCGGGAAAATGATATTGGGGGGGGGGGAGGATGTGCTTTGTCCTCCTCTACACAAAAATATCCTGGCGACGCCCATGGCTGGATAGATAGAATCATCTTAAGAGTTGAGGTTAGCACAAATTACTCGAGCGTCAATTTAGATTTTGCATCTTCCCTTAAAAAAAAGGAGATTTCTTGTCCTAATTTTACCCGGTTCTTCATATTGGTTAATGACCCCGGACACCCTCAAAAAAAATCAATCCGGAAAATATATTGATATTTGAGGGAAAATGTGCTTTGTCCTCCTCTACCCACACAAAAATCCTTGCGACGCCCATGGCTGGATACATTCGTAGAAATCATGTTAAAAGATGAGGTTTGCACAAATTATTCGAGTGTCAATTTAGATTTTGCATCTTTCCTTAAAAGAAAAACAGATTTCTTGTCCTAATTTTACCAGGTTCTTCATACTGGTTAATGACGAAACACGCATGAGGTTTTTTTTCTTTCATGTTTACGTGGAAACCATCAGTTTCGTAAAACAAACCAAAAAAAAAATAAGAGAACGAAAAGAACTAAAAATGAGATATGCATGCAAACTAGAAAAAGATTAACCGTTGATCGTGATAGAGATAACAAAATAAATTTGATTGATTTTGAGTATCTTTTTAATTATCTTTTTATTTCCACAGAGTGATTACAACAATTAACAAACTGGTTAATATGGTCTAAATTTTGAAAAAAAAAATATTTTTGCGCAATAAACCTCATTTTTGGCGAGTGCTCAAAATGTCATTCTTTCTATAATCTAGCCACCTAACAATGTTCCTGTCATGTTTCCTTCCCTGCCAATTAAAACAAAAGTGTGTAAATTGCTTCATGACATTTTATCAAAAGTCATTGCATTTTTATCACAAAGAGTCATTAAAACATGTTGCTTTTTCTAGGCGTATTCGGTCACGAAAATGCAAATAATCTTTGACCATTGTTTTTATTTGTGAATAATTGTTCCTGGTTTCGAATGATTATTGATCAAAGTGAAAAAAAAAACCTCAAAATTGTATTAAAATCAATGATTAAAGTATTTCTTTCTTTACTCAAGCATAAACGTTACCAGTGTTCTTTGTTTCTTATTGTTCAGCCTACATTGAACTCCTTTTGATCTCTTCTTGGACCTGATCTTCAAGACTTCAAGACCGAACCATCGAGGTCGGTGTGATGATGTTTAATTTATTCTATCATGACCGTTGAAAGGGCGTGCCGTCCCCATAAAAAAATAATGTAATTCAGTCTCCTTTCCAAACCTTTATCGGCGGGCAAAACAATTAGTGTGGATTGCCCCCAGTTGCCATGGCAACAGATTTAAAAAGAACCCACCTTTTTATTTACATGTTATCCCCTTGCTCTCGGATAGGCCATTGCCGACACATTCTCTGAATAATGATTCCTCCAAATTGTGTCTCGTATACAAATTCTTCAGTTTATGTAGTGATTTTGTTTGTAATTTTAGGCCCTGTATTGTTTTCCTTTCAGATGAAAATCTGCGTGGCCACCATTCTGTCAATCGCCCTCCTTCTGGGTAACTCTGTCAAGCTCCGAGCTTCTGTTACTGGGCCGGTTCCCTCGGATGGCGATGGTCCTGCGTTTCAGGTGTGTCAGCAGTGCTGCCAGGGACCTGCTGCAATACCCGGCATACCAGGTCTGCCTGGTCTAGTAGGACCGATGGGGCCGTACGGTCAGCCGGGGTCAAAGGGCGATGCAGGTCAGCAAGGTGAGATTGGCCCTATTGGACCTATGGGTGAGCGAGGAGCACCTGGGAACACTGGGTCTAAAGGTGATGATGGGATTGGTCTGCCCGGCAAGATAGGTCCGAGAGGGCTACCTGGTTTTGTTGGAGGAACTGGGGAAACTGGTGTCAAAGGTCAGAAGGGTGAGCCAGGGGAGACACCAGACGACTCCAACAAGCGGGTAGCATTCACCGTGGTGAGGACGAGCAGCTCGGATACCTCTATGAGTAACGGCATCCGTTTGCCATTCCAGCAGGCCGAGACCCTTCTGCCGGGTACCAGCTTCGATCTCGAGACCGGCACGTTCACATGTAGTGTGCCGGGCACCTACGTATTTACGTTTTCAAGTCTTAAGTATAGCAACAGCGGTACTTTCAACATCCACCTTGTTAAAAACAACTACAGGGTGATCACTTCCCATGGTGCATCAAATCAACGTGGTCAGTTGTCTGGTAGCGCGGTGCTGGTTCTGCAGCGTGGAGATACGGTGTATTTGACCATGTACGGTATGGCGTTTAGTGATTCCACCAATCACCACACCTCATTCAGCGGCTTCCTCCTTTACCCGGAATTAATTAATTAATTAATTAATAATCACCTCGCATAAATATACAGGAGCAGTGCTGCCCCCCAAAAAACTTCGCTTTCCATTTTGCCGAAACAATAACCAACGAATTAACAACAATAATGTTCAAAGACATAATACACACAATAATTGACGACAATATGTTTCCTTTTGTTACCATCAGAAGCTATGATAAAAAATGAGTAATTTTTAATACATCTTTAGCATTAAAATATCAAAACGGTTAACAAGACATCAAAACTACTTTAAAAAGAATCATTAAAAATCAGTTCAAATAATACTAGTTTTTGGAAGGAAATATTTTAAGCTGTGAATAAAAAATTCCAAATTCATCAATCTTTCTCTTTTGGCTGACAGTGTGTTCCATGGATGCATACATGGTAAAAGCCCAATCCCTGTATGCCTTGCCAGGCTTTGGACACATTTTAGGGTGGTCGAGCTTAACCCCGTCACAGTTTTTCTCCAAATAAATAAATGATTAAATAAATAAAAATAAACCACAACTCATAATTATACAGGAGCAGTGCTGCTCTTGGTTGTTTCGCTTTCCATTTTGCCAAAACAGTAACCAATGAATTAAAAGAAAAAGTCAATGTTATGATAATAAGAAAAATAATTGATTCTTAATACAGAGCATTTTACACTCAAGTATCAAAACTGCATAAAAACAGTTAATTAAAAAGAAGTTAAATATATGACTTTTGAAAAAGAAGGTTTTAGATGCGATTAAAAAACACTTCAAATTCATTATTGTTTGCTCAAATAACGTGGAAGTCTGCACGGTCACCGTATGCCTTGCCAGGCTTTGGACGAACTTAAGGAAGGTTGAACTGAACCCCATCGCAGCTTTTAGTGGGAATGTTAAACGCATGAACTGATATTTACTCTGTGAGGTACAGTAGCGCTGCCTCACCATGGCGGATAAGTTTGAAAAGTACCGGAGAATCTTGAATTTATTCCGCACCGTAACCGAGAGCCATCGTAGTTCCTGAAGTATGTGCGTAT